TGAGGCCAGAAAATGTTTTCATTTCTGTAATTATTGGTTTATATAGATTAATCCTTTAGTTAGTTCATGATTATTTTAGGAGAAAATATAGAAGGAAAGTCGAGTATCATAAAAAGCAGACAGTTGAATGTATAGCCATTGGTAAAGTGAAATTAACAAATTATCTGCACGAAAGCAGCTGCTGTCCCACAGCTGCTTTTGCAAGCTGTGGTTCTTCATTTGTTAAGACTCGATGGCTTGTCTGGAGCTGGCCTCCGTGCCAAGCACACTGAACCGGACCGAGGTTAAACTGTAAACTCGGACTCATTAGCATCCTGCGCTCACCCATTTGCCAAAACATGATTACATAAAAAGTTTCAATGAATTTTGAATTTACAGAAGAAAAGAGTCGTTCATCTGGAAATCACCCTGACAATGTGAAGAACCACAAAAGGCTGTGATAACAAGGTCAGTGGAGGCTACACACCAGCACCTCCCATCTTGGCAGGTTTCACTCTGAAGGGTGAGGCGTCAGTTAAAATTGTGAACATTTTAAAATTCGGAATAGCATGAAGGTGAAGTTGATACTTGATTATCTGGGGAAATCCTGGAAATATAATCTTTGTAATTATCTCCACGCTGGTTGATTTCCTACAACAATGTCAGCATGCGCAAGTCCTGACCATTTATCTTTTGTGTTTTGTGAGCTAATATGTTGCTTAGATCCAGACTGACCAAGAGCTGAAAATCTCATGTGTGTCACCCTATAGCTGTGTTTTGAGTACCCCCTTTAATCTATCTTGCCTTGAGTATATTAGTGGGTTTAATGACAGCTACTTTGTAGGCTTACTGTAAAACTTGAAGATACTATTAGTAACATCACGGATACCTATTCTAGTTTCCTGTTTTTCCATTCGTCTGCTCAAATTGTACCAAACACCTAGCAACTCACAAAGTCTATAGGCATGCTACTGCCTCAGGACCATTGCATTAGGTATTTTCTACAGAAAAAAAAGTTATTCCCTATAAATTCCATAGTTCTCTATCTCATTTTTGCTTTTCCCTGCTGACATTACATGAGTACATATTCTCTTTATTTACTTAGTTTTTTTGTCTATCTTAATAAAGAAAATATAAATCTCATAACTTTAGAGATTGAGAACCTTTTATTTATTACCTTTGAAAATGTAGAACGAAGTTAGATATATAGATTTTTGGCCTCGATATCTGTTTAACCTGTAAATCAGTAAACTTAGAAGTGATTAGATGAAGTTTTGCTATCTAGCAACTCACTCATCTTGAAGCTGAGGACAAGCTACCTCAGTCCCATTACCCAAAACCATGACCAAAACACTGATGATTCCTGCAGCATCCTACAGCCTTGCAGTTAAACAGGAACACATCAACACAAAAGTAATGAGTTTGCAGTTTAATATGTGACATAGAACAAAGTTGCAAAATGAAATGTAAGTATAGACAGGGATGCTAAATCTGATGCGAAGGAGCAACATTGTAAAGAGGGGAAGTCTCCTTGTTAAACTTGGATGCTATAAGAACATAAATGGGCCGGGCGGTGGTGGCACACGCCTTTAATCCCAGCACTCGGGAGGCAGAGGCAGGCGGATCTCTGTGAGTTCGAGGCCAGCCTGGGCTACCAAGTGAGCT